GTGTACTTGGTAGGTATCCATTTACTTTTGTACTATATTTGTACAACTTTCTTACACTCCAGGCAAAGAGGCTAAAATATCATGAGCTAGGTGCTGCCAAGGCTGCCACTGAAGATGCTAGGAGTGAAGAAAGGGGCAGGTGATACAGTAAATCTTCAAGAAGCTAGAGAAGAGAGATGATAAGGTGAAAATAGCTAAGGAATAGGATTTTCTTTTTTTTTTCTTAAAAAATTACTTAAATATTCATTGGGCTAGATATTGTGGATAGGAAAGTGATGGAAATAATCTCAGTCTGGTGGAGACCATAGGAAAATACAATATAATGAATTTTAAAAGTTAAGATAAACTTGTATGCAAGTTTTGCAGAACATTAGGGAAATTAGATATGCATAGAATTCATTCGTTCAGTGCATTTATTTAAAGAGTATTTCCTGAGGCACCATTGTAAGGCCCTAGAAATGGAGAAACAGAATGAAAAAAGGCAAATGCTTGTCCTGAAGAAACTCAGAGTCTAGTGAAAATGCTTCTGGGGCAGCAATTAGGAGAACAAGCATGGCGTATCAAGGGTAGGGAAAAATTACACTTCCTGCAGTGTTCAAACAATGTCAACTGTATAGTCAGATATTACCTGAGCAAAAAGTTAAGGCCATGGGTTGACAAAAAAAAAGAGGACGCTAGAAAGGTACACAATAGACAGGGCTGAAAGGGTTTGAGTTTTTTTACTATGACACCAAATGCTTTTGTTGCAGTTGCCAGGGGACACGCATTTTCCTGCAGTATTCATTTTTTTGGAAATAATCTGGGGGTACACAAACACATTTATTTTATTTATTTTTTTGTTTTTGTTTTTGTTTTTTTCATTTATTTTTATTAGTTGGAGGCTAATTACTTTACATCATTGCAGTGGTTTTTGTCATACATTGAAATGAATTAGCCATGGATTTACATGTATTCCCCATCCCGGTGCCCCCTCCCACCTCCCTCTCCACCCGATCCCTCTGGGTCTTCCCAGTGCACCAGGCCCGAGCACTTGTCTCATGCACCCAACCTGGGCTGGTGATCTGTTTCACCCTAGATAATATACGAAACACATTTATTTTAAAATTAAAAGTATGCATGTATCATGTGGTAAGTCGCTTCAGTCGCGTCCAACTCTTTGCGACCCTATGGAGGCCACCAGGCTCCTCTATCCATGAGATTCTTCAGGCAAGAATACTGGAGTGGGTTGCCATTTCCCAGATGGCTCTGGCCTTAGCCGTGCAACACCCTGGGGCGAGAGTCCAAGGTCTTCGGCTATTGGAGGATTTAGGGCAATACTACGCGGAGACCGTCGAGCTAGGTGCGCAGGAGAAACGTGCGAGTTAAGTACATAGACTAGGGTAAGGCTGCGGCGCCGGAAGGACAAGGAACCCGTATTCTGCTTTGCTCCTTGACTCTATCATTCCGGAAATACTCTGCTCCTGGTACCCCTTTGCCACCGGAGACTGAGCGCCAAGTTCGCGAGCTGCCCTTTCAATACTGTGCGCCTCGTTGCCAGGGCAACCATTCCTGCCCGGCACAACTCTGCGACCTCCATGCTATTGGCTTGAGGACGCAGGGTGCGTCCGACGTCACTGCGCGGCGCCGCAAGATCCGGGAACCCTGCGCAACCTGATTTTCCCCGGTCCCCGGCGGCCGGCGACGGGACCGGCGGCTGGTGGCCCAGCGGGTGTTGGTTGGCTGGTGTGCAGATTGCGGTGGGAGAGAGGAGCGGTAGGAACGGGTCCCTAGAGCGGTGAGCTGCACAAGTGAGGGGATCCGCTGTGCCATCCTCATTCTCTTGGCAGAGGCGGCTTCCTGTCTGATCAGTTGCTATGGCCACGGGACCACGTTGCTAAGGAGCCTGAGATGCTGAGCGCCATGAGTGCGCCCTTCCTGGTCTGGCTTTGGTTGAGAGTTGCCTTATTTGAAACTGGCGCCTTTATCCACTTTTATCTGACCTTCTTTAGGAAAAAAAAAAAAAAAACACAAAGCAAAACACAACCCTTGTTTTTCTCCATTTTTTTCCTCTCCATGTCCTCATTTTCTAAGTTTGACAACATCCTGGCCCTGGACTGGTCTTAGGTATTGGGAAATGTGTGGTGTTAGAGGCGAAGAGGCTAGGGAAATGGAAGGCAAATATGAAGACCCTTAATACTGGCTCTTTGGATTTTCTTTACGCTGAAAAGGATTGGGATAGGTGAATACTGTGGCTGTTCTTTGAAATTTGAAGGAGCTTTAGAGATGGAGCTCACCTTCTTTTGTGGGGCTCCTGTTACACTTTTGGAACCTTCCAAACACCAGATTAGAGAGTAGGAAATAAAAGTGACCTCTGTCTCTGAGAATTTAGCAGGTAGTTTAGTGCAGTGGTCTCAGAGGCAAGTGTGGGAAGAATAGGTATGTGGAAAAAGAAATAAGATATATCAGCTGTCCAAAACAGTGAAAGAAAAGTGCTCTTTCCTAGTACAGACCCGGATGCCTGTAACCCCTTGAGATGACCCGCAGCATCTAAGGAAACCTAAGGTGAAAAATGAGGGGTCCACAGTAGGGCTTGCTTAGTTTGTTTGCTCTCTTAATATTGTGACATAGTTTAGGTGCTGGGGTTAAGTGGATTAATAGATTCTAGTGTCTATTTGGAATCTTTATATTGTTTTGTAAAAGATTGAAGGGTATCCTTTGTAATATTTATAACACAAAAAAGTTACTTTTTCACTTCTTCCGACCATTAACCCTTTACACTACCCTCACCTGTTATTTAATGAAAAGCTATTGTAAGATGAATTAAGCTTTTTTTCCTTTTACAAACAACTCATGCTCTGGGTTTGTTGTCAGTGGTATGCTCTCAGATGGATATTATTTTTAAAAATTGAGTACACTTCATTTGTCTATAAGGTAAAGGGTGATATTTTAACAGTAACTGAAAATCTGTTTTGGAAAGAAGCTCTAACATAGGTGTTTTGGAAGTGGACAGGGAAATGTTTGCATCATTGTGTGGGTGTATGTTTTGGTATTGTTGCTAAAAACTGCATAATTGTATCACACATAAAAACTGTCCTGTATACTTAAAACCTTTGGAAGCTCAATATTCTAACATGTTTTTCAAATGAAGAGTTTCAGTAGCCTTTTGAACTTATTCAAAATCTAATGTAGCATTTTCCAGTTAGTACCTTATAGAAATAGCTGTTTGACATAAAAGAACATAGAAATTGTGTCAGTCCAACTTGTTGAATAATCACTTAAGGGCAGTATTAGGTTGCACTTTAAATAGGTCATAATTAAAGTCTGTGTTAGCTTAGGATAGGATCTAACAAATTTAATGAGCTAATAATTACCGTATTTTTAGAAAACGCCTTGGGGATGAATGTGAAGTATGATATTGGGAAGTAACTCATCTGCTGGTAGTAGGCTAAGAAAATTAGGTCAGCATATCAAATTAAGAAAATCAAAATTTAAAATTACTTTGTTACAGAAATGATCTTACATTTAGTTTATCTTTGCAGGGTAGTTTGATCTGGTCACATTGTATTTACAATATTTGGAGGCTGAATGTTATTACATGGAACTTTGCCCTCCTTGTGAAGATTTCTAATTTGTCAAGTAAATTAAAATAATCTCATGTTATTACTCATTTAAGAAGGCATCAGTGTTTTAAGTTGAAGAAGAGTTGTGATTTGTGTCCCCAAATATTTGAAAAGCTGTCATTTAGAAGTAGAAGACTACATCTATGTGGCCTTAAGAGAAGATCTTATACATAGTATAGAAAAATGACTATATTAAAGACTTAAAGTGGGAAGTACTCTAATGAAAGAATGTTTGGAGTGTCATGTAAATGGGGGAATGGAGTAATCAAGGAGAAATAAGGGAGCAAGGCAGAAATCCAAGCGCTGTGGAATCGTGCATTTGAGAAAGTGATGGTCAGTCAGGAAAGCCTGCTTGGAACTTGGGATTGGAGCTAAACCTAGAAATATCAGCGGGCAGTTGAGTGTATAAGTCTGGGTGTGTGGTGGCAGATTCTTTGAAATAATTTGATTCGGCAGGAAAACAAGGGCTATGAATTAGAGACCTCCTGTTAGCAAAGAGGGAATTATGGGAGAGGGAGAAGTGAACTATCATTCACTGGATAAGCTTGACATATTATCTTCTTTAACCTTCAGTAATAGCTTTGATAGGATTAGTATCTCCCCCATGTTCAGAGCCCAAGAAATAAAGGCTTAGGAAGATGAAACAACCTGCTTAAGTTCATAAACTTGTAATTAGTAAAGAGGAGAGGCAGTCCCAAATCTGAGCCCAGAGCTCCTTCTACTTCATCATATCACATTGATCTTATCTGTAGGGTTGAGTGTAGGAAATGGAAGAAAAGGAGACAATAGATATCCTGAATTTTTCAGCCTCAGAGATCAGAAAACTGGTGGTACTTTGAACTGACAGGCGGTTCATAACTTCAGTGTGAAAACCGCAGTTTGGGTGATGTTAAGTTTAAGGGGTCCATTTAGTAGGAGAGTTCCTTATGTCACTGGAAATGTAGGACTTGATATGCAGATGTGAACACTGGGAACTCTGGAAATACAGAGAGCAGAGAAAGTGCAGAGAGTAGGGGATGTGCCAACCACTTTCTCAGAAATCTAGTCTGTATTTTCTGTATATGGCCAGAGGATTACAATTGAGTTTCTAAAAGTGTATTTGGACTATTTGAATGGAAAAATGAATATTTTTATACATTTTGCTTAGAGATATTAAAAAAAAATTTCATTGGAGTGACAGATGGTTTTTAATTTACTGTTACTGGTATTATTAAAGTTGATCATTTTCATATTTTCTTACTAGCTTTTTAGGCATTTTGCTCTATATCATACCTTTTCTGTGGGACTTTTACTGTATTTCCTACTCTGTTCAGTTTGGTCTTTACATTGTTAATGAATCCTCCTCCCCAGAAACAGTGTTGAAATCAAGTTTCATGTAACTGCAGGAATAAAGGAGAAGCAATGCAGAAATCAGAGTGCCATAGGGGCGTACAGATGAGAAACAGACTGACAGGTACAGAATGTTGCTTTTTAAATGAAGAGGTAAATTTTGTTAATGACACATGCTTTGTACAGGTGAATGCAGGCTGAGCTTTCACTTCTTTTTTTGTTGATGTTCTGTTTTTTTCAGATAACTGTGATCAAAGGACATCATCAAGTGCACAAGTAAAACATGGGACTCCAGTTCAACAAAGCAAATCTTCATCATCAACCAGCTCTCCAGAATCTGCAAGAAAACTTCATCCTCGACCAAGCGATAAACTTAACCCTAAAACAATTAACCCGGTAGGTACAAAAGAGATTCCTGACTTAGCAGGTTTTCCAAAGTATTAGACTTTTATATACTGTTGAGCCATTCAACAGGTATCCTGTTTCTTTTGTTAGTTTTAAGCTAGTTGTGAAGGAAGGCATGTGGTAATCATGATGAAGAATGGAGGTAATGATATGAGTGTGGGAATGAGAAGGTATAAGCAAGAAATCAGTCAGCTTCGGTATGTCATATCACATTCATGGATGAGTACTGTAGAGTATAAAATAAATTGCATATCAACTTTCTTTTTTTTTTAATTTACTGTGATTATTATACTTCCCAATATCAATGAATAACCTTGTAAAATGTAACCTTGTAAGGATGAATTACAAGCTTTCATAGTTGCATAAAATCTCTGACCGTTTCTTTATGACCTGAAAATTAGCTCCACCAGAATTCCTAACTACAGCACTAGCTTTCTTTTGCTTTCTCAAAGCAGATTAATCACATTTAACAAACATAAGGTTTATATGCATAAAAGTACGTAATTGTAAGTTTCTAAGTCAGTTTATCCACGAAGTGAACACACTTGTGCTCCAACACCAGACGGTGTCTGGTCCAGCCTTACATAGATGATGGTGGTTTCAGCCTTTAAAGGGGATTATGAGAGTGGCTGAGACACAGACTTGGATGGCAGGTAGAATACAGCAGATACTTAAGCAAGGATACAGTGAACTATCCAAAGGCAAGAGGAGATTGTCTGACTTTATAAAAGAAAAATGGAAAATAGTTTAAGCTTCTGTGTTCCTTTGCTTCTTTCTGTCATTTGCAGCGTCAAGAAATTTTAGGTTCTTTGACCTTCCAGACTGTACATATTTGAATGGAGGACAAGTAGGACGTATGTGATATGCAGGAGGTTAAAAATTCATCTGCTTTCCCTGTACACCTTTTCTCCATTTAGCCTTCACTTTGAAAGGTCATGGTGGAGGAGGGGCGGAAAGATAAATTATCTTCATTGTATTTATAATATTTAGATTTAAAAATATTTATCTATAGTATGTTTATTTTATATGTGGTTTCAACTACCTCCAAGCCTCTGAAACAAGGGTTAAAGGAAATATACAAATTGTGGAGAGGATTGATCATTTTTCTCAGCCATTTTTCTTAGTATAATGATGCACTTGATACAAGCTTGGTGGGCTTCAAAGTCAGGGTGTCTTATTTGCCTCTGACCTCAGCAGGATTGAAATTGATTAGGTATCACTAAGTGGAGATGATAGTAATAATTATTGTATTCTTGTCTTGTCTTTTTTTTTTTTAGTTTGGTGAACAGCCACGAGCCCCTTCTGCCTTTGCAGCTATTTACTCTAAGGGAGGTATTCCTTGCAGGTAAGATCAATACAAGTTATAACTGACCATATTATTCAACATAATTGAGTAAAATCAATACAGTTTCCAATTTAAATGTATTGAAAGTTTTATTTACTAGGGAGGTTGAAATAAAGGTGAATTACTTATTCATACTTTGTCTTTTGGATTGATATAGATCCTAGGACACTGTTGAAAAAAAGAATTTTAATTCCAAAAGAGAATTACTGATAAATCTATAGTAAACCACAAGATAATTGAAGAAATTGACTGAAACAGTTTCTAAAACAGTTTAAGCATTCATAGGCTTGGGAAAATTTCAGATAAATAATCCTCTTTTGTCTGAACTGGAAGTTGACAAATGAAATTGTTTTGTTATTTTTTAACTATATTTCAGAAATCAGATATTTCAAATTTTATTTGAACTTATATTTCTTAATGAGTAGTACAGCTGTTTTTGTTTTCTTTTGATGTAATTTTTGTAGCCTTCCTTGGTGGACATCAAGCTATTTTTAAAAAAGCAATGCAGGTTACTAATAGAGAGATATCCTTTTAAGAGTTCACTACTGAGAAACATTAATTTCTTCTAAGTATATCCAGTTTTAACCTGTTGTAGATGATAGGACATTTTATTTTCATTGTGGAAAGAATAATCATAGCATTCTTTTTGGTATTTGAAATTAAAAAAAATGTAGTTTTTAATGATATTTTCAGATTTGGAAGGCCAGGAGTGAAAAGTCAGCTCAGGAGGCATTTTTTAATTTATTTTGTTACTATTTTTTATTTACATTCTGAACTGAAACTATTTTAAAGGTCTTATACCTTCTCCCCACTCTGAGAATTTATTGTTGCTAAAAATGTAAAAACAGTGCTGCCGAGTCTTCTTGGGATTATGAAAATAACACTTTAGTATTCTTTAGAAGATGCCAAGTTGAGAACATTACAAAAGGAGTGTGAAATAACAGTTGAGTGTAATGAATAAATTCTGTGTCACGAGTGTGGTGATGTTTCCATGGATGTATTCATACATCCAAACTTACCAAATTTTACACTGTATTAATAGCGTCCATTTTTATTTCAAGTTCTGCTTCAATAAAGGCTGTTAGAATATTAAAAAAAAAAAAAAAGCAGCAACAGCAGAGAGTTTAATTCAAGGGGCTACCAGTTTTTCACCCTGCATGGGCCATTGCATATTCCTGGCCTCAGTTTTCCTCTCTTTGATAGGGATAAAACCTGGCTTTCCTTTAGATTATTTCTGTTTAGGTTAAATGATATATGGGCTTCCCACATGTTGTTAGTTGTAAAGAACTCACTTGCTAGTGCAGATGTAAGAGACGCCAGTTCAATCTCTGGGCCGGGCCCCTGGAGGTGGGCATGGCAACCTACTCCAGTATTCTTTTTTTTTTTTTAATTAATTATTTTTATTGGAGGCTAATTACTTTACAGTACTGTGGTAGTTTTTGCCATACACTGATATGAATCAGCCATGGGTGCACATGTATCCCCCCATCCTGAAGCCACCTCCCCATCCCATCCCTCTGGGTCATCCCAGTGTACTGGCTTTGAGTGCCCTGTTTCATGCTTTGAACTTGGACTGGTCATCTGTTTCACATATGGTAATATACATATCTCAGTGCTGTTCTCTCAAATCATCCCACCCTTGCCTTCTCCCACAGAGTCCAAAAGTCTATTCTTTATATCTGTGTCTCTTTTGCTGTCTTGTATATAGTGTCATCATTATTGTCTTTCTAAATTCCATATATATATATGTTAATATACTGTATTGCTGTTTTTCTTTCTGATTTACTTCACTTTATATAATAGGCTCCAGTTTCATCCACCTCATTAGAACTGACTCAAATGCATTCTTTTTTAATAGCTGAGTAATGCTCCATTGTGTATATGTACCGCAACTTTCTCATCCATTTGTCTGCCAGTGGGCATCTAGGTTGCTTCCGTGTCCTAGCTATTGTAAACAGTGCTGCAGTGAGCATTGCAGTCCAATATTTTTGCCTGGAGGATCCCATGGATGGAGGAACCTGGCGGGCTACAGTTCCTGGGGTCACAGGGTTGGAAACAACTGAAGCGACTTAGCATGCACAAATGATACATACCTGAAAATTAATATTGCTTATGAAAAAAAAAATTTCTAATTATCACAGTTGTTTGCTTATTTTGTGATAGGTTTGCTATTGGTTTGTCTTTGGGTTACCTATTTTGTTATATGACTGAACCATATGAAATGTAACATTTGCATTGAGATGTAAATAGCACTCCAAAACTGTAGGCTTAACAAATGTGGAGATGTGTAGTTTTGTCATCAAACAATTTTGTTAAAAGGGTAGGAATTTGTAGGATTGTAAATATGCAATTATTGCTCTATAAGGTGTCTTTGTAATATCTTTTAAAGTCATGAAGTTCCTATGTGTTATAAAATAATTCTAATATGGTTATGTTGAGGAAAGAATGTGTATATTGTGATTAATCACTGTTTAGTATATAAGTCTCTTGTTCTTGTCACATTCACTGACTTTTATATTTTAGGTTGGTCCATGGTTCAGTAAAACACAGGTTACAGTGGGAATGTCCTCCTGAAAAGCTTCCATTTGATCCTCTTCTTATTACTTTAGCTGAGGTGAATACTGTATCTTTCCTGAGTGTTTATTTTTTCTAATTGCATGAAATGTTATTTTGTAACTCATCAGTAAATCTCATTCTTTACTTTTGAAATAAAAGCCAAAGAACAGGTATTAAAACCCCACACTTCCTTAGGAACTAATTATGAATGGTGTATGATTCTTAGAAACTGCTTGATCAGCTTTATAAACACAAAATTAATCTGCACAGGGATTTGTAGATAAGTAGATAAAATATTCATACTTAATTTAAAGTGCTTGGAATCATATTGAACTAGTCAAATCAGAAGGATATCATCATTTAAACTCATACTAGAATCAGTTAACAGTGACTGTTTGGTCTTTCCTTATGGAACCTTTATTAAGTCACCTATATTAAGTCACATTTAATATGATATGTTTCTTAGGGAACTGATATCAACTACCTAAATGTTCTTTTGGGTAATTTTCAGGGCTTTTGCCTTCTTGTGCATTTTAAGTAAAATATCATAGAGATGGTTTTTGTAGAGGATTTCAGAAAAACTTCTCACATATTCCTTTATATAAACATTTGTGTCAGGAACAGCGTTGGCAGAGTATTAGCCTGAAGTGAGTCAGAGATATCTTTTGTGAATGTTATTATTTATAAATGTATAGAATTAGAGACAGAAGTTGAGAAATGAGTTAACCAGTTGTACTTAACCTTAACTTGTCTTCTTTAAGACTTCAGGATCATTTTTGTTCTTGTCGCTGTTAAGAAGCAAGTCTCCTTACATTAGAGCCTTGATGGTATTAATCTGAATTGGCAGTGCCTCTGGGATAAGTCATACAGTAGTCAGGAATCCAAAAGATATGACACTGAAAAAATTCAGATTATTTTTTTCTTCACTCAAAGAAACATTTACTTTTCCTGTAAAACTTGTGGGATAGGCCAGATGTCAGCAGAGCTGAAAAAGTAGACAGTTGTGCTGATTGAGATATCTTAATTGTAGTGAATGCTTAGAATGTCTAATTCCTCCTTTAGTTTTTCAAGTTTATTTACTCTTTGAAATGGACATATCAGTTACTATTGGGGCTTCCCAGGTGGTGCTAGTGGTAAAGAACCCGACTGCAAATGCTAGAGATGTAAGAGATGCGGGTTCAATCCCTGTGTTGGGAAGATCCCTTGGAGAAGGAAATGGCATCCCACTCCATTATTCTTGCCTGGGAAATCCCATGGACAGAGGAGCCTGGCAGTCTACAGTCCATAGTGTCACAGAGAGTCAGACATGACTGAAGTGGCTTAGCACACAGACATCAATTACTTCTGAAGACTACCAAGTTATCTTAGGTCTTAGCCTTTCTTAATTTGTGCCTCAGCCTGCAGAAGATATTTTGGTGTAAGAAGTAGTGTATCTTTATGGATAGTCTATTTTGAAATTAAATTTTAATTAGTCTCTTTTAAACTTTGGGTTACAAACTAAAGATGCTCGTATTTCATTAGTTCTTTTTTGAGCTTTAAACTTTTTCCATATGGTAGAACACAATTTTTTCGATGAATCAAAACTATAGTGATGCCTTTGAAAACATGCTCTAGCTAATCAGAAGACAGAGGCAGTGCCTTGACTTGAGGAATCCTCAAAGGAACTCTGAGTTTAGTTTAGATCTCATAGAGTCAGTCTTTTAAATATCTGTTTTTGCAAACACCACTGCTTTTATTTCTGTCCTGTGTAAACTTCTCTTTCCCCTCTCCTCATTTACTAATGGGAAAGCAGTGACAGAACCACTACTATTGAATCCGTTTCACCTTGACCTAAGGTTCCTCATCTCTAAAATGAACAGGATAGGGGTGCTCCTAAGACCATAGAACCTGTGTTCTGTGATGCCAGTGTGCTTGGCAGCATAGTTTTCAAAAGCATGGTGGCATGTAGGAAAAGAAGTGTTTCATCACCATTTAGAAGCAGATAGTTTTGTTTTGGGGATTTTTTTTTTGTTTTTCTTGGCTACACCACATGCAGGCATGCAGGATTAATTTCCTAATCAGGGATCAAACATTTGTCCCTTACAGTGGAAGCATGGAGTCCTAACCACTGGATTGCCAGGGAATTCCCCTGGAAACAGATGGTTTGCCCACAAGGACAAATTGGTTGAAAATTAATATTTTTAGGCATGACGCTGCAGCTGGTTATACTTAATACCAGATAATAATTAGTCAAACTGAGGGAGTATTGCTATTACTTTCTTTGTTTTATCTTTTCGAAAAAGATGCCTATTTTATCCTGACTCAAAATAATAATTAAAGAGTACTGTCTAATTGTTCCTAATGCATTTAGGGTGAAAGGCTTTGGTGAGAAATGATTTACACAGGTTTTTTTTTTCCCCCATATTTTTGTTTGATTTTCTTATGTTAAAAATGGCATTTGAAATCTTACAGTGCATTTTAAGCATAGTATAAGATTTGTCTTCTAAGTATCTTAGTATTTAAATGTGAAGGAGATATAATATTTTAGAGACTCATTAAACAAGTTGCAAAGTCATCTTTAAGGTAGGGGGTCCAACAATTTTGCATTTATAAAGTGGGATTTAGTAACATAGATTTTAGACTAATTTGTTGCGATTTCTGGCAGTGTTTGGGAGTATAAGCAACATGTTTTTAGTATCATAGTGAGTTTTTTCCTTCTCTTTATTTACCTTTCCTCTCTTTCATCCTCCTTCCTCTTGTTTTTCTCTCTCTTCTTTTTCATTTATTTTTCCTTGCTTCTCCTTTGCTTTTCCCTGTTTCTTTTATTTTTTCTTATTCTTACTCTTTTTCCTTTCCTTCTTGGTTAAAGATCCTTTTTGTCTCATGCATATCCCATGTTCCACAATTTCTTAGTTTAATTGACATTGTAATTATTGAAATTATATTTCACAAATAGGAAAATAATACTAAAACGTGATTTTCACTTACATGAGTAAGGATTACATTTTTTCTATTATCATCACTAAAATGGGTAGTAAATCTGTTTTTTTGTTTGTTTGTTTGTATGTTTGTTTTGGCAGGGTCTGAGAGAGACTAAACATCCATACACCTTTGTGTCAAAGGAGGGTTTTAGAGAATTACTTTTGGTCACAGGCGCTCCTGAGAAAGCTGTGCCTTTGCTTCCTAGACTGATTCCTGTGCTGAAGGCAGCTCTGGTATGTCCTTTATTCCTTTAGACTTTCTGCAGTACATTTAGAATATTTTACATCTTTTTTTTCTTTCAAATATTATGAAAATTTTTTCTTTACCTGTGATTTCGATGTGTGTGCAGAATTCGGCCACTGTTTTTCAGGGCCAGGTGATTCCTTACTGGAAGATACCTTTAGAAGATGTACTAAAGGTAAAGAGGGACATCTTGAGTAGTTAGAGAAAATAATGAACCTGAAGTCAGTCTTTCTGTAGGCTACAATGTATTTTATTTAATGTCTCAGTCAACCCAAATTTAGTTTTTGCTTCTAGATGTCCTGTACTAAAGATTATTTTTTAAATCCTGGATTTGATTGGTCATTTTCTAATATTGAATGTTACTTTTTCTCCACCTGCGTACCCTTTCTCCTTATCCATCCTTCCTTTTCCCTTTTCCCTCCCTGCCTGTGCACCATGAACCGCCCAACCCTCCCCAGGTCCATGTGGATGATGAAGTGTTTGAAAGAGGACTGAATGCTCTGGTACAGTTAAGTGTCGTCGTTGGTCCTTCTCTAAACGACCATCTGAAACATCTGCTTACCAGTGTAAGTGCTGGAAAGATTGGAGAGGGCTTGTGTATACATATCGCTTTCTGATGTAATGGCTTCAAACTAGTCATTAAAATGATTCAAAACCTTGAAAAAAACCTCATCATTGTAACCAAAAAGTATAGACATCAGACCTAGTTGTTCTTAAACATTTTTACTAATGGGCAATATAGTCTCTTCAGTTTTTTTTTTTTTTTTTTAATGGAAAGCATCTGCCTGAGCAAATTTAGACTTGTGATAAAAATATACAGAATTGAATGGACAAAAATTAATGAACAGTTGTGAGGTCTTCGTGCCCATGTGGATTATCTATGAGTTCTAACCAGAGTTTATAAGTATTCTTGTGGAATTGGATGTTGCTAGAGCTATGCAGAGAAGGCAATGGCAACCCACTCCAGTACTCGTGCCTGGGAAATCCCATGGACGGAGGAGCCTGGCAGGCTGCAGTCCATGGGGTTGCTAAGAGTCGGACTCGACTGAGCGACTTTGCTTTCTTTTCACTTTCATGCACTGGAGAAGGAAATGGCAACCTACTCCAGTGTTCTTGCCTGGAGAATCCCAGGGACGGGAGCCTGGTGGGCTGCTGTCTATGGGGTCACACAGAGTTGGACACGACTGACATGACTTAGCAGCAGCAGCAGCAGCAGCAGCAGAGCTATGTTATTCATCTTTTTTCTTTGTTTGACATTGTAATTTTTTTAGTGAGTCTCTAGGATTCAGGTTGAGACATTTTCCTGTTATGAGTAGTGTAACCCTGTCACAACCTAAATTGGGGCACTGCAGTTGAGGAGGTCCCCAGGACCACCCTTAGGTTTGCCAAAATGACTCATGGAACTTAGAGAGCCTGGTTCTCGGTGTTGCAGTTTATTCTAGTGAAAGGATACAGACTGAATTTTCCAGGGGAGGAGCTGCAGAGGGCAGGGCCAGGAGACACTCGGTGTGGAGCTTCTGGCGGCATCTCCCAGTGGAGCGGCATGACTGTGCTTGTGGTTTGCAGCGGTGGTGGGTGCCAGCACGCATGGAGCATTGAAGGGTGGGAGGCTCACTTGAGCCTGGGTGTCCCGGGTTCTCCTTAGACGCCTGTCACGCGACATCGCTGTTTGCCTGCCTGGTTGACCTTGGTCTCTAGCCTCTAGAAGGTGAGCTGGTACCTGGTGGCTGGGGGCCCTGACTGTAAATCACATTGTCAGCACTGACTATCTGGTGTGGCCCAAGGCCCCAGGTAAACAGTCACTCTTAGCTGGCAGGACCTTCCAAGAGTTAGAGGTTTCCATCCAGGAGGGCAAGGACCGAACCTATATATATGTACATCTCCCCCCTTTCTTGAGCCTCCCTCCTCTCCTCTCATCCCACTGCTCCCGGTCATCACAGGGCTCCAGGCAGGGCTCCCTGGGCAATACAGCAGCTTCCCACTGTCTGTTTTACACATGATAGCGTATGTATGTCAGTGCTGCTTTCTCAGTTTGCCCCATCCTCACTTCCCCTGCTTGTCCACAAGTCCGTTCTCTACTAGGTTCATCAGTGCCATTTTTCTAGATTCCACATATATGCATTAATATACAATATTTGTTTTTCTTTTTCTGACTTACTTGACAATGTATGGGAGGCTCATCCACCTCACTACAGCTGACTGAAGTTCATTCCTTCTGTGGCTGAGTAGTGTTCCGTTTATATATGTACCACACCTTCTTTGTCCTTTCACCTGTTGATTGACATCTAGGTTGCTTCCATGTCCTGGCGGTTGTAAATAGTGCTACTGTGAACGTTGGGGTACAGGTGTTTTTTAGAATTGTGGTTTTCTCAGGGTATATGCCCAGTAGTGGGAATGCTGGGTCATATGGTAGATTTATTCCTGTTTTTTAAGGAATCTCTGTACTGTTCGTAATGGCTGAATCAGTTTACATTCCCACCAACAGTGCAGGAGGGTTCCCTTTTCTCTACATCCCCTCCAACATTTATTGTTTGTAAATTTTTTTGATGATGGCCACAAAATCAATCAATTTTTGATTGCTTGGTTCAGACATTCAGCAGTTTAACATAAATCTGCTGCTCTCTGCCCTCTCATTTTGTGTCAGGTATTATTTGAGGCACAGGGAATATAATACTGAACAAAACCACGCATGCCCCCTGCCCTTGTGGAGGCTGGTTTTCTTTTGGGGGAGAAATATGTAGCAAGGACATCTGCTGAGAGAACTGGCATAAGGTAAAGAGGAAGTGAAGTGTAAAGAAAAGGACCCTTCCCCTAACTGGAAGTGGAGCTTCCTAACAGCCTCCCAACTCTGCCCACCATGGTGGAGGGAGGAGACCAGATCAATGGTTAAACTCTCTTAACTGTTTTTAAAGGTACGATAGCATTTATCTTCAGTCACTCACATACCTCCTCAGAGCTCTGCTTTTCCTAAGACAAGGACTGACTGAAAGGGCCTCTTCCCTTCCTGGGGTGGCAACGCTTTGGGGAGACCTAGCTACCACACTGGCCTTCATGCCCTCGTGGGATTCCGTAGAGTAGAAGGCCCTGGAAACAGGATATGTGGGGGCTCATCCCTGGTCCGTAAACTACACACGGTGAGGACCACTGAGTTGCTAGATGCTCCTCCTCTCTCCTCTCCCCACCCACCCATTCAGCCAGAAAGGCTGCACTTTCAAGTCTTATAGACTTCTACATTAGACATCTATTTGAAGAAAGGGTTCTTCTAGGGAAAAAATTTCAAAACCAGTTACTGAACGCACATACATCTGATTTTCTTCATATGCGAAATAAGTCATATCCTTTGTGAGCTTCAACTCTGAGAGACTGTTCACTGACCCTTGGACAGTGATCCTCAAACTTGAAGGAAGAAATAAATACATCACCTGGGAATCTTGCTAGAAATGCAGAACCTGGACCTTTGTCCTGAGAGTCTGATAAAGTAATTGGTGGGGCCGAGAATCTGTACTTCGGTGGGTATATGCGATGAGATGGTGGTGGTTTGTGGATCTGCCTTTGGTCATCTGCCCAAGGGTAACATGCTCTGAAGAGAACAAAGATATGTAAGGGGCACTTTTCCTTGTTCATCTCCAGGACATTGATAAGCCCTTCCTGTCCCCCTTTTAGAATTGCTTTTGTTGCACTTTTTATCTTTCCGGGAGTCTCTTCTGACCCTCCGTAACCTTCGATGAGCTGGCTGAAAGAACCCGTCACTCAGGGCTCAGTGGTGGGGATTGTGCTGGTCGCTTCCAGACCTGAGAAGACGAAGAACCGGAAACCAGCTCTAGGACAGGGGCTTGCTAAGTGTTTGGTGATGAGGAGTTCTTGCCTGGGCTCCATTTTTATCCCCAGAAAGTGGGGCCGTGAGCAAGTCCTGCTCTAGCTGGGAGGTTCTGGTTTTTGGGTGAGTGGTGCGGACGTTTGGGGGGAGAACACAGCGAGGAGTTGTGTTGAGGGGCTGAACTGCACTCTTTCCCTCTTTGCTCCTGTTATTCTGACTCCCGTTCTCTCTCACCTCAGTCAGAGCTCCCCGCCTGTCCAAGCAGGCACCTTCAGGACGCCGCAGCTGGGGGCTTTCGGTGATCTTGTGGGTTTTAGGCAGATTCTTCTGCCTGTCACTGTTACTGAATTATTCATGCAAATACTCTGTTTTTTGTTGTCTCTTCCATTTTTGACTATAGGAAACACATGTGCTTTAGAGGCTTAGCTTTCCATCATAGTCCTCCAGATGGTCTTAACAAATGACAGAATGGGAAAGAGTGTAATTTCTTACAAACCTTACTCTGGAAAACTTACAGTATGGTAATACTGGGCAGATTCTGTAAGTTTGGTATTCTATCAAATAATATAAATCCATCTTTATAAACAAATACAGTGACATCTATTCTATGTAAGTTTTTATGAGATATTTCCTAAAAGAAGCCTTGCAATCTAAAACAAAATCAGTGGTGTTTATATACTTACTATATAGTAAAGACTCAATGGTATTATTTCTAGTTAGCCTATTAGTGAATTTTTACTAATGTTTATGGTGAACAGTGTTACTTTTTCAAGTCATTTCATTCTCTTATTTTCAAAGCTTTCTAAGAGATTAAGGGACAAGAAATTCAAAGAACCAATCACCACTGCGTTACAGAAGCTGGAACAGCATGGCGGAAGTGTAAGTGAGCATTAGTCCCCATAAACCGTAGTTTCTAAAGATTTTAGTCATATTATAAAATTGATCAGATAACATGTTATCTCACTTCAGGCTCAAGTAACCATGTGGAGTTAATATTATTTTTCTCTTTTTAGAGCTCAGAGTTTCTTGCCTAGGTCACACAGGTTTTTGTGTTTTTTTTTAATTGAAGTGTAGTTGATTTACGATGTCATGTTTCCGGTGTACAGAGAAGTGATGCAGCTCTATATCCGCACATATATATATATAAACTTTTTCAGGTGCTCTTCCCTTACAGCTTGCTATAAACTGAGGTTCCCTATGTTATGTATTAACAGTAGGTCACACAGTTTTAAGCACGGGGATTCAGACCCAGGTTGTATCACTGTAGGGCCTGCGCACTTTCACTGTGTTTGCCGTGTGGCCCTCTTTTGTAGAACAGCTCTCCAGATTTTTTTAAATTTAAACTGTTTTGGATGTTTTTGCTTTCACCATTGGGAAGTTAAAAAAAAAAAAGGACCAACAGAAAGAAAGAGTAGGTTTTTTTTCCCTTTTGTTATCTTTTCTGTCTGAACAGTTTGAAGTCTGTTCATAATCAAAGACTGAGATGGGGTTCCCAGATGACTGGGTTGTTGTGTCTGGAAGGTGCGTGTGCTCGCTTGAACCTGTGTCTGTGCACACAGGGGTGATTTCGCTGACTCGTCTGCTTGCAGAAAGGTACCGCGATGTGGGGGACTTCATTGCTCTCCGTGTGCTGTCAAATAACTGGGTTCATTGAATTTTCGTCATGTGAAAGATGTATTCAGAATTCTAGTCTTGGAAATATTGCCATAATGCAGTGATTCAGCCATGTGTTGGATGTTACATTTTATCAGAGTTGCATGGGATTAACATTGCAGGACTCAATTTCGCTCTGGGTACTTAATTAAAGAAAATTTACATGATCGATAGAATTTTAATATGGCAGATATTTTAGTTTAAGCATTGCCTAAATTACTTAATTTGACCAATTTCAGTGACTTTTTAAATTGATTGTATTTTTTTTTTCATGATGAAGTTCTAGGGTAAAGTTTACAATGTGAAAGTCATTCCCCGGGCTACTAGATAACGGGTTTCTTTGTTGTCTGAGTCGAGGCAGAGGGTTAGCCTTCAGACACCTTGTTAAAATGCACAGAATCGTACCCTAGTCAGTCCAGTATCCCTCCCCAGCACAGAAAGGAATTCTTCTTGCTTATAAATGTGCTTGCTGTTCTGAGAATTAGAATGAGAAATAATTTGCCCCTTCCTCTCTGAAGTGCAAATAAACAGATGCTGAATAATGATGGCAAGACTTTTCAGTCTGAAACTCTGCAGATGGTTTCCATGCATCCTGTGGGCTGGTGTGGGGCCTGGGCAACTAGAAAAGGGCAGCCCAGCGCCTTAGATCTCATGGGGGTGTGTGTGGGAAGAGGGGACAGTTTGTGAGTAAATAGAGGTTAGAAATGGGCTTCCCAGCTGGCTCAGTGGTAAAGAATCCACCTGCCAATGCAGGAGACATAGGAGATGCAGGTTTGGTTCCTGGGTCAGAAAGATCCCCTGGGGGAGGAAATGGCAACCCACTGCAGTATTCTTGCCTGGAAAATTCGATGGACAGAGGAGCCTGGTAGGCTACAGTCCATGGGTCAAAGAGAGTCAGACATGATTGAGCGCACACATAGCCACAGGTTAGAAATGGCTCACTCGGGTTTGGAGGGGGAATGCAGAGGATGTGGGTGACCAGTTCAAGGATCCCGGTGACAGCTAGCCGAGATGTTCTCTTATTGAGACTGAATCTTATTAGTTTTTCGTCATGCTAATACAGAATAAAAAGATTTTGAAGTTATAAAAACTATTAAGTGTTGGGTATTTCCTCAGACTTTTTCTGTTCTTTTTCCCTCCTTCTAATGTCTTACATAATATTTTAGTAATGATTAAAGTAATTGTAATAGAAAGTTTTGATCACATATCAAAGACTTTCCCATGACAATTATTATTGTACTTGCCTTCAGTTCAGTTCAGTCGCTCAGTCGTGTCCGACTTTTTGTGACCCCATGAACCGCAGCACACCAGGCCCCCGTGTCCATCACCAACTCCCGGAGTCCACCCAAACCCATGTCCATTGAGTTGGTGATGCCATCCAGCCATCTCATCCTCTCTCGTCCCCTTCTCCTCCTGCCATCAGTCTTTCCCAGCATCAGGGTATTTTCAAATGAGTCAGCTCTTCGCATCAGGTGGCCAAAGTATTGGAGTTTAGGTACTTTATAATCCATCATGAAATTAATGATGTTCTTCCTTTTCTAAAAACTTCAATGTTTATATCTTTTCTTTTAATATTGGAGATGGGTCTTTATGAGACAATCTTCTCAGTAAATAGTTTTTTATTTCTTAGGGCTTGTGTGTATTACAATGATCAGAGGACTCAACTTCTGGGGAAATAGAAATATTACAGACAGCCATGATGTCTTTTTCTTAAAACTAATCAGTTTACTATCTGCCTTAAATTGAAACTGGTTCATTCTTAACCTTATTCAGTTTTCTTTTTAAATGATATACATGTATGTCTTGGGAAAGTACATACAAATACACGTCCTGACCTTTATCAACCAAGTAAGAACTTATTGCATGATAGGTACTCTGTTGAGTACATTTTAGACATTAAATTCATTTAATCTTTGCTCCAGCTGTCAGAGGTGGATTTTGTTGTTATCCCCCTTTAAAGAGCTAGAAACTGAGGTGTAGAAAAGTAATGAGCCCCAGATTTGATAGGGAAGTGATAGGCAGGAGATGGATTAAAAAACTGGTTTCTAACTACTTTTCTAGTTAAATATTTTAAACCACAGAAAGAGACAACCTGTATTTTATTTAACTCAGGAAAAAGATTCTATTTCTCTTTCCATCATCTGCTCCCATCCTTATTTGGTTTGTTTGTTTGGAACTTTGAACACTATTTTAGGCATGCTCCTAAAAACATAGTACCTATTAGGGGAACCCTGCATGATAACAAATGAGGCTAAAAAAATTTCTTTTCTGTTGACAGGGAAGCCTTATCATCATCAAATCTAAAATTCCCACATATTGCTCCATATGCTGTTGAAGAAAGGAGCCTGAATGACAGGTGTTAAACGCTGACGATGGGTATCTGCAAAACCTGTTCAGAGTCACTTCAGTTTATTTTTTTGTAAATCACAGCCATCCTTCATTATTACTGGCCTTGGATGAGTATATACACAAGTCCACCGAATCATAGTACAAGTTATTCATCAAAAAGAAAGAATGGTTAATAATGGAAAACTATTAAAAATGTTCCATAATAGTACAATCTTATTTTTTTGTGTGTGTGTGATTTGTGTGAACAGCAGTTACTGGGTTTACAGTGGATAGGTTTGTATGTATTCTGGTGCCTTTTGTATATAACATTTATACAGTCAGTTTGTACCTGTATACTTACTTTTAGACATTCTGCCATTTCCTGGGTTTTATATTTATCAAGTCTATGGGAGTTTAAAATAGTGGACAAACATTTGTGAATTCACTGTTAATTATATTGTTTGTAAGTATGTATTTTATAATGTAGAATGTTTGGAAAAAATTTCTTTCCAGAGTATTCTACTTTAAGAAAAAGATTTTTAATGTGTAAATTCTCTTTTAAGTATGGTTGTTTATTACAACTCATTAAAACTACCTAAATTTAGGTGTTAATTGTATTTAAGTAAATATATGTTTATTTCATAGTTTGAAAATACTGGTATTCAGTACATGAAGATATTCAGAAATTAAAATCTTAAAACTCTTACATGTATTCAGTTATTTTGTTGTGCTTGCTTATGTTTAACAATTAGCTTAGTTGAAAAAGCTATTAAAGAATTACTTATAAGTGTAGTTCTGAGTGTTGATGTGATAGCATCTGATTCTAGATCTTTCTACAGAGAAAGGAATAGAGGGAGAGAAACAGAAAACAAGGAGACCCTTCATCTTCTGGGCAGGAGGAGAGCCTTAGGACCCTGAGTCCAAGGGTGTCCAAGGACACCAAGTCCAAGGCTGACTGACCCTTCTGAAGAGATGGAGATTAGAGCAGCAGCTCCTTCCCAGAAGGAGCTTCTCTGGAGGCTCAGACAGTAAAGAATCCGCCTGCAATGCAGGAGACCCAGATTCGATCCCTGGGTCGGGAAGATCCCCTGGAGAAGGGAATGACTACTCACTCCAGTATTCTTGCCTGGAGAGTCCCATGAACAGAGGAGCCTGGCAGGCAACAGTCTTGGGATCACAGAGTTGGACACGATTGAGCATGTTCACAGTTTCACATTCTATCCCAGAAGGATGTTCACCCTTTCTTTATTCCACCTCTCAGATATGTGGAGTGATCTCTTTGTGTAAATATTTCTCATTTCAGGTGCAATCTCTCAGATGTAATTTGGGGAACACATGTATACCCGTGGTGGATTCATGTCAATGTATGGCAAAACCACTACAATATTGTAAAGTAATTAGCTTCCAATTAAAATAAATAAATTTATATTAAGAAATAAAATGCAAAAAATAAAAAAATAAAAAGATAAAAGCTAAGTAACTTCTAAAGAGTTGTAACTGCAGAAATGTTCCTTCTCCCTTAGAACTCCTGTTCTTCCTAGTCCCCTGCCTCACCCGTTCTCCCCTCGAGTCTCTACCCTCGTCACATCCTCAGGGCCCATCAGTTCACACGCCTGCCTGCCCCCTCTTCTGACTGTTCTTCCTTGTACTTTAGCACCACCCAGAGACCAAGATCTCTACAGTTTAGAAAACCCCATAAGAAAAACTTGATGTGTTTAGTAATTATAAAATTTATTGAAATAAAGGCCTATAACATAGTAGAGTTATAAACATTTTAGTTGCTTTTATTTTTTCTTTTTGAAATACAAAATGTGCACATTGAGTTTACACAAACACGCGATGGCCAAGTTCAGTGTACATGTATTGTACTACTCTTAATTTCTACACTGGTGATAGCAGGGCAGCTTTCAACATCCTATGTCTACACCAGAATAGATACCTGATTTATTGTTGCAGAGACAGTTGCAAATTTCCTCCTACTCTAGCCTCTTGATCTTGGTGATATTTCTGCAAAACAAGGAAGGTGTGTGTATCTTTAGTAATACTGTGGCAGCTTTACAATTTTGGCTTTAAGGTCATTAAAAATAATCTGAATAATTGGAGTTTTATGATGAGCTAAATCATAATACAATCCAGAGGAGGTGCTTAGCATTTATATTCATTTTCTACTAAATTTGGGTATTCTAGTGCTTAATATAATGGAATCAGTGGTGCTTTCAAAGTGAATTCTTGCTCTTTGTACCTAGTAGGCATTGGGGTAGCCAAGATTTCTTTGTCCCTGAATGTCACATAATGTAAAGGTGCCAGGAGGGAGTCAGAATGCAGTAGGCCTTGAATGTGGTTAAGAGTGAACTTGCTAAGCATTGCCATGGACTAGAGGACAGATGTCCTGACCCTTTTCATAAGCCTGTGGACATCCTTGCTTTGTTTCACACCTTCTTGGACTTCACTTAGTGACAGAAAACAGTCAACTTATAGGATTGAACAAATCCAAAATTACATATATCATGTAGGCCTTGGCTATAATATGTATTATGAAAAATTGAGAATGCTTATTAAATAAGCTCTATTAGGCATATGCTGACATTTGGTGATAAACTAATTTGTTTCATGTTATAAAAAATGCCAGATGAATGTCTTAACAGAAGGCAGCAAATCCAGAGAAACGGACTATGTGTGTGTGTGTGTGTGTGTTTTTCCAATTATAGTAATCTTGTTTACTTAAAGTATAACTGGAATTACAGTATTCAAACATGGAAACTAATAGCTGGAAATTAAGTACAGATGCTAGTATTTAGAAAACCATTTAAAATCCTGGGACTGAATACATACACGTGAATAGCAAAAAACACTGATATTTTAAAATCACCAATAATGTGAAAGCTTTAATAATCACATGGCTAGAGAATGAATAAAACTATATGCCAGATTCTATTCCTTTTGAATATTCACAGGGTATGAAATGACTTAGAACATCCCATGGACTCAGTGGCATTATGAAAAGGATGCAGATTTATAAATGGAAAACTCAAATCTTTTGGGGGTTGCTTTATGTTAAAACAAAGCTTGTTTGCATAATATGCCTCATTGTAAAGCTGAGCAATCTATGCTAAAAGTGGTAGCTCCAGCTTTGTGTGATAGAATCGTTCACGTTTGTCTGTTTGAGGATGTATTTGACAAGTTAAATCACATTTTCGAAGAGCTGCATGGAGCGCATGATATTTTCGTCCTGTAAGGGAGAAACAGTGGATTAAATTCACCATATTTGTAAAGCAAAGTGCACTATTTTGCCTCTAAGTTTCACCAACCCCCACCAACCTCCTGTGCCAAATGTTCAAATACTGTGTCTGCAAATGTAAGTACGCTTCTATCCATTTTCCATGCTGATACTGTGGAGAACCTGTTTTATGTTTTACTGAGTCCACCAGGCTTTAAAGACCTATTTAACTCTGACTTGGTGTTGAGAGGATATTTCTCCAATTAGAATGCCAGTACGGAAACTGGAGAGGTAGCACAGAGTGTATCCAAAGTGAGCAATGCAAACCGCCATATCTGGTCATCAGAGGCCAAATCACAGGGACTTGTACAAATGGAAGGAGACAGGGTTTGTTTGTGTGTGAGCTAAGAGTCAACTTCATGAAGACTGGAAGTTGGGATTTAGGAAATGGGTTGGCGGTAATTATAGCTGTTCTTCTCAGTCTGAGATAAATCTCTGTGACCTTTAGGAACATTTAAAAATGAATGGTCTCTCAATGCCAGGGGAAGGATTGTTTGGAAGAAACCATTGACCAGTATCTGCAGTTTAGTTCGTTCCTTTGAAACTTAAGGGGACAGACTGGGCATGATGGGGTACTTAGAGGTTGGAGCATTTATAGTAATGGAAAATGGTAGCAGAACTGATGACATGCTCTTCCGGAAGCCAAACAACACCTCCATTAGCAGACTGATGTCACCAAGTTAATTCAGAGAGACCATGACATTGAAATATGAGTTGAAAAACAAGCAGGCATCAGGAAAGGGAAAGTATATCAATTTGAAAATAATGAGAAAGAGTAAAACACCAGCAAACTTTTGTCTCCAAAATTATTTTTAAAACTCTTAATTGTTCTACCCACATAGGAAGTCAAATAACTCTAGGTGTCTGCCACCAGATGGTAGAGGACTGCATGAACTTTCCCTCAGGGAGGATTTTCTGCTGTTTAATTTTGTGACTGAACTATTTTGTTCAGCCAAAGATATATCTTGTTCACATACACTGAAGCAATGGTGTTTATATTAGAGATTGGATATAAATTTGATCAGTGATACACTGTTGGCCATACTGGAATCCTAAATCTCTGGAGGATATGATAGACAAGACATATGTTATATTCTAGTTCTGGGGAAAGAACAATTCAAATCTCACATATGTTTTGTCCTCAGTGATAAATATTCCAAAGGGTTTGAAGAGCAAAAACACACTCTTACAACCATCTCTCCAGGGCTTCCCTCAGAGCCTGCCTCAGGGTGTGTTGACTAACAGAATGTGTAAATCAGTGGTTGTTTTCAGTGGTAAGCTTGTTGCATCTCAGTTGTGGAGAAGTGATGATTTTAGGCATATGACCTTTGCACTTTGCTCAGTCAGGGGTGGCTAGGGGATAGTGCTCAGTCCAGCTCGTAAGAAGGCAAAAGGGATAGTTCCTTTACTCTCATTACTTACTTTTTGACAACTTTCGATGAATTCATCTATGGTAACGACTCCATCTTTGTTTTTGTCCATTTTCTGTTAGGGAATTACAGAACAAAAAACTTTACTCAGACATTCCCCTCAATACCCTCACTCCTGAACTGAACAAGCTGAAGCAGATGAAAAGAAAGCCCAGCTGCTTATTTAATGAGGAGAAACTGCTTCAAAACACAAACTAGTAGTTTCTTGGTGATAAGACTCGTATGAGGCTGACTGATTTTAGGCTGTTGCCTTTTTAATAGAATGTGGTGTAGATCTAGAGTCTCTCTGTGCTAGTAAAA